GGGCGCGGCGGCGCGGTGAGGAGTAGCCCGGGCGGCCGCGGGGCGGTGAGTATCGGCAGGCACCGCCATGGGGCTCCGGAAGAAGGGCTCCAGGAATCCCCCGGTGCTGAGCCACGAATTCATCCTGCAGAACCACGCGGACATGGCGTCGTGCGTGGGCATGTTCTTCGTGCTGGGGCTGATGTTCGAGGGCACGGCCGAGGTGTCCATCGTCTTCCTGACGCTGCAGCACGGGGCCTCCGTGCCCGCGGGGGAAGGGGCGTCGGCGGGCGCGCGCACGCTGTACCACTACGGCGCCCGGGACCTGGCCACCGTGTTCTTCTACATGCTGGTGGCCATCATCGCGCACGCCACGCTGCAGGAGTACGTGCTGGACCGCATCGGCCGCAGGATGCAGTTCACCAAGGCGCGCCAGAGCAAGCTCAACGAGTCCGGCCAGCTGAGCGTGTTCTACGTGGTGTCCTGCGTCTGGGGCTCCTGCATCCTGGTCTCCGAGAACTGCCTGGCGGACCCCTCCCTCCTGTGGAGGGCGCACCCGCACCCCCTGATGACCTTCCAGATGAAGTTCTTCTACATCTCACAGCTGGCCTACTGGTTTCATGGCTTTCCGGAGCTCTACTTCCAGAAGATCAAAAAGCAAGACATCCCTGGTCAGCTCATCTACATTGGTCTCCACCTCTTCCACATTTCTGGAGCGTATCTCCTGTATTTGAATCACCTGGGACTCTTCCTTCTGGTGCTGCATTATTTTGTTGAATTACTTTCTCACCTGTGCGGCCTGTTTTATTTTAGTGATGAAAAATACCAGAAAGGGGTTTCTCTGTGGGCCCTTGTGTTCATTTCAGGGAGACTTGTGACCTTAATTGTTTCCGTAGTCACCGTGGGGTTTCATCTGGCGGGATCACAGACACAAACTCGGAATACTACGGATGCCCTTGCTGGAAACGTTAATGTGTTGGCTGCTAAAATTGCAGTTTTGTCTTCCAGTTGCTCGATTCAAGTGTACATAACATGGACTTTGATAACTGTCCGGGTCCAGAGGTGGGTGGAAGATTCTACTCTGCAGGCCTCAAATGTGAAGAAGAAACGATCCACGAGTAAAGGAAAGTCTAGAAAAAGAACAGAAAATGGAATGGATGCTTCAAACAGAGTAGACTCTCTCCCAAAGAGGAAAGAGAAATCATTATGACGAATCACAAGCTAACTGATCAGTGTCTTCAAAGGAATCAACTCTTTAGTATGAGATTTCTTTGTGCTACAGATCTGTTTTCCAGAATAGTTTGTGCTCTTTGATTATTGGTATCGTCCCGTTTAATGCATTTTTTTAAGTCATTTGAGGGGGGGTGGTTATTATGAGTGAAAAAAAGATCTTGGTTAAGACTAAGCCATTCATCTAAATAGTATCAAAATATCGTAATTTGTTTTGAATTTTTACCTAGAATCATTTTGTGATGATTTATGGAGATAACTACAAAATTTCGTTTTTCAATGGTACTGTTTCCTGTTCCCACTAATCTTAATGATATTAACAAAATGATTTGTTACAGTGATTTCATAATTTAATGTTCTTTCATGGAATGGAAAGATCTATGAAAGTAGAAGTTATGTCAGTATTCATTAATTTTTATTTTTCTTAGAATTTATGACAAAATATTTGTAAAACCACAAAATAATCCTGTATTTTATTTTATGGGCATTTTATTTTAATTGTTAATACATTTCCATTAAAGAGTCAAAATACTAATATATAACATGTATAGAGATTTATTGCCATATGTACTGAATCAAAATAACTAATTCATATAGAAGTATTACTGGAGAGTTAAAATAATTCCATTAATTTTAAACACTTGTAAAAGGATACTTATAGATATTACTGAAGAAAATAAATCAACCTAAATAGTCTTTTTAATGTTTTTATTAAAATAATTCTTAATGAAGATTCATAAATTTGGTAACAATAACACCTTCGAAAAAATTCTGTTTTATCTGTAAAGATTTTGAAAACTTAAAATTTGATTTGCATGTATAAAAAGAATGACAGCTAACTACATTTGAAAAACATTAAATACGTTAAACAAATACTTAAAAAATCAGATGAATAGTTACATGAAAAACTTTAAAATATTGTTTTGCTTCTGTCTTCAATTGAGAAACATTTATTTGTATGAGACATTATGGAAATTATATATGTATATAATTTATATGTACCGAAGCCTGTAGCAACAATGTAGAGGTGAATATATTTGGCTCTTTAATCCTCATTTTTAGTTCATGTCCATATTTTGCTTATATATATTTTTAAAAATACAGTAATTTAAAATATGCTAGGGTAACACCACACATTTTGTATTCTCAGAGTATATCTCTCATTTTGTTACTTTTGGTAGCCTTTTTGTAGGAATTTTCTAAATAATTTGATTTTTTCCAGCCAGTTATATTCCTGAATATTAAAATTGGTGCATAAATATCACAGATAGACAAACAACTCTTGGGAAACTTTTCTCTATGTGGCTACTTTCAGAGGTAAGTAACAACATAGTATTTTTTTCTAGTTTGGCTATAAAATGCATTAGTCTACTTTTTCTTTCTTTTCATTTTAATTACCTAATACTTTAATATTGGTAGCACATGTTCTGAAGTCCAAAGGAATATAACTTATATATTAAACAGCTAGTGAGTGTAGTACAAACATCACCTTTTTACATTACTGGGAGCACTTTTTTTACATTCTTCACTTTTAAAGAATGGTACCTTATTATCTGTAACCCCACTTCTGATAATAATTGTCTTAGCTGTTAGATAGTTCATTTACAAATACGTACAGCCCTGACTCAAACTGGAAAATGATTGCGGTAAAATAACTTTCTTACATAATTGATAATGCCAAAGGTTAAATTAGGCTTGCCAATAAATAGAAATAAGCCCAGATTGATTTCCTTAAGGTTTTCTTTGCTCTGTCCTCCTCAGGTTAACTTTCTACATGTCAGCCAATGATTAAAGCTGTTTAGGTTTCATTTACTCAATACTCCATGATAAAGAGTAAGAAAGAAAATACTTCGTTTGTTAAATTCCCATAGCACTAAGGTTTAACTTTAGTAAACTGATTTGATAAAGGAATACACTGCACTGATTGAAGGAAGTTTGCTTATATGCTCCAGTGAGAAAAGATTAAGTTGCTTTAGTTTAAAAGATCACAAAAAGTTGTAAAGCTGTTCAGGAGAAAAAAGGAGACTAGTACTAGACACATCTCAACCACTCATGAATTCAATGAATATTGCCCTAAAATAAATCTATCTGAAATAAATTATGGAAAAGACATTACAAATGAAATTTACCTCAATATAAATGATTGAGTCTCTCTTTGAAAAAATACATTCTTAAACTTGTGCCATAAGAAGTTTCAACACAATTACTTGGTCTCTCCCAGAGTAGACCACATAGAACCATGAATCTCCATTAAGATTTGAGGCTTATTAAAACTGATGTTAACACCATAAAAGCTTAAACAAACACTTGATCACCAAAGGCTGTATAAGTCACAAAGATGTTTCCACTTAAATTTAAGGGTTGTGCTTTTATTTATTAGCTTCTAATAGTTGTCAAATTTTATTCCTTGTATGTTTCATAGGATGGATTCTAAGTATAATTTTCTATGAAAACATTCTTCTAGTACTTAATTAAATATGTATTCTTTTTTAATGAACAGTGTGGGTATGCCATTCAACCTAAGTATCTTGTAAGGAGTCACAAATAACCTTTAGCCTTTTCATTCCCTAGGGACTAGTATAACTCTTCATTTTACTTCACTAGTGAAACATAACCTTGTTAATATTGCTTACTTATCTTTCGTCATGTTTTGTTTATTTGTATGGGAAACCAGAGTCAGCCAGTACAACCTATTTTTGTTGGAATAGTTTCAAAATTTGCATTATCACATCAATTTAACATTCCTTGAAGACACACTATCCTGAAAGTCTCTTTGTTTGGAAAAGTAGGAATAAAGTTTTAACTTTTCACTCAACTAAACCAAGAACAATTTGCATGGGTAACAGGAAGTTTTTTTTACCAGTGCTCTAAACAGGAAATGTCATTGGAATAGTTTCTTAGAGGAAACTTGGGTGAAAGCCTGCTTGAGAGTGGATGTGAGGAGCAGGAGGGGATTTGGGTCTTTGTGGCAGAGAAGGCCTTCTAATTGGTAGCACAGCCCTTGGTAATCTGGAGATCGCACCGACCTTCCTGGTGAAGAGTTTTGGCAGTGTTGGTAGTGCTGGAGAATTGATTGGAGTTTGGCAGTGTTGGAGAACTGGTTCTTAGTACCATCAGATCAAAGGAGAAGAGATTTCACACTCCTAATTCTTATTTTTTTTACTCCTAATTCTTAAATTATTTAAAATAGACCTTTTACACTACCATCTTTAGATCAAATGTGTATCCTATGAGAAACTACTCATACTGAATAGAACAGAATAGACTGCTAGCTACATGCAGTTATGTACAAAATAAATTTCTCACACAAAAAACAGATTTACAAAGTAACAATTTTGTTATGATTATATAGTCAATATATTACCTAGATTTTGCCATTCAGGTACTATAATGAAGTCTGTGTAGGCTCTCCACTATGTCTGGCAGCCTTGTGATTCTATACATGTAAGTAGTTCTCACACACTGAGAACTACTCTTAGTTTGCCCAGCTGCAGTTTCTTCTGTTTTGGCAGGCATCCTGTTTTGTGTGATAGCAGCATCACTGTGGCAGCTAATCTTTTTCATCTTGGCAAAGTACTCCAATGTCTCTGTGGCCCACTCTTGGGAATATGTGATAGATTGGAAAAGTTTCAGTTGAACTTGAAGGGAATGAGGTTTTACACAAGCTTCACAGTAATGATTTGTACGTTTTTTAGCCACCAATAAATGATGGGACTACTCAATAATTAAGGTAAAATAACAACTTTAAACAAAGGGACAATTAAGTGAAGGTTCAATTTGAGTACTAAAACACCATTCACCACATAAACTCGTCAGTGCACACGATCTCATGTTTGAGGGAACTGAGAAAACAGCATTTACCAGAGACCAGCTGCAATTTCTTCTAAACTGTTGCACTCTTAAAAGTGTTTACAGCCCAGGGAAAATTTAATATTTCATCCTCTTACAGTACTGAGTGCTTAACTGCTGAAAAAGACTTCCAATGAACAAAACCAATAAACAAGTTTTCAAAATTTTCAACACAAATATTGAAATACAATTTCTAAACTTTGTTCGCTTTTAAAAGATACTTGCCAGTCTCACTGATACAAATTCAGCAGACAAAACCAATAATATGATTATAAATAATAATTAAAAAGTGAAGTCAGGGTCAGTGCCCTGCTGAGGTGTCAGAGTTCTGTGAACTTTGAAAGCCGTATTTTGAGTCCTGTTTTACAAGCCTTTAAATCAACAAAGATAATTATCTATCTCAGGAACCTTCCATAAGACTGAATCATATATACTTGTAGTGTGTAGTTTCTTTGAGTATATGTGTGCATAAAAACTTTTTCCATATTTGTATTGCACACTTGCAACCCCAGTACTTGGGAGGAAGTGGCAGAAGGATTGCCTTGAGTTGCAGGCCAGCCTGAAAGACATACAGAGTCCAGCCTGAACTACAAAGCAAAACCTTGTCTTCAAACAACTATAAACATAAATATATGCATTCCATATATGTAAAGTATCAATACACCATTCAATAGCTATGCATATGAGTATGTTCATATATGCATATATACATATGTGCATATGTATGCACATTTATAGATTTTTTTCTCATGCATTGCTATTAATGGACTTGTGTTTTAGGGCAGTTTTAGGTACATAATAAATTTGAAGGGACACCACTAAGATTTCACATTTCATCCTAACCTACATGTACAGCCTCCCCTGTCATCAACATCTGGCACCACCATGTTGCTGTTGTGACAGCCAATGAACCTACGTTGGCCCATCATTAACACCCAGAGTTCATACTGTTTCACTTGAAGTGTACATTGTGTGCATTTGACACATGTGTAATGTCATGTATACAATATTGCAGTGTCATACAGACCTCTTTCACTGCCCTAAAATCCCCTATACTCATTCTGTTCATCTTCTCCTACCCTGTAGACTTTTAAACGCTATAAAAGTATGCAATCCATGTTTCCCCAATTTGTAAATTGGAGTCAACAGAAAATGTATGTATAATGAATTCAGGTCACATGTGAAATTTGCAGATTGTATAATGCACGTTAGGGATGCATAAGCACAATTAAATGTACATAAATGGTCTTCTGAGTAAATACAGAGTAACTGTGGACTATATTTTCATACATAAATTACGGAGGACACAGTCATTAAGAAAATGTAATATTTAAGTCAAGACTCTGAACAAGGTAGTCTAAGAAGCAGGTACACATGTGGGAGAAAAGAAAGTTCACTCCTTGGCTTTGGGGCATTCCTACAGATAGAAGCCAAGCAATGGAATAAAAGGCAACGAAAGAAAGTCACCAGATGGAAGAGATGGCAGGAGAAAGATCCAAAGACCAAAAGGGGTTGGCACTGCAGAATGCAAACTAGTGATGGCTGATATGATAGGCCAAATAAATAAATCTATAAAGTCATGGAAACTTAAAATACAAACAGCAAGAAATGTAAATTATGTTCAATGCGATCAAGACTTCAAGTTCCTTCAGATTAGTTTGAGAAGGTTGGACTTGGCAAAGGTATGTCGCTATGGAAACTGTGGAATCAGTTTCTGTGGAGTGGTAAGAATGAGAACTCTAGTGAATCATGCTGAAAGGAAAGTTTGGGATATGTCATGTGATACTAAACATGCATGTTCCACAAATGTCCTGTCAAGTGAAGCAGAAAACTGGAAGGTGCGTGCATTCCCTTGTGTAATAAAGAGGTATGTAGTCAAAGACTTTGTTTTGGTGGTGGTGTAGCTGTTCTTGGGTTAAGAGGATTAGATAATATATACACATTTGCCTACTCAAGAAGTGACGAGGTGACACTGAGAAGACATGACA